ATTGTCGCTGAGGGGTCACACTGCTTTATGCTATACCTTGCCCTTAAAGCGTAGTACCCCTCCGTGTCCCCGCCTACGCGGCAGCAGGGCGCATAGAATGAGGTCGTAGGATATCTGTCAACCGCTGAGCCTCCCTCCTTCTTCATTATCCCTTTCTCCTTCTGGTGGGTAGTGATACTTGGGCACCAACTCCAAACTCTCCCCCCTCCCTTGCGCTATCTCCAATGTGCAGCACTTGCATTCGTACCAAAGTGTCACGGAGAAACACGTGCTGAGCGATAGGGAACCAGAAGTGAGAAGGTGCAGACTAGTAGCTCGTTTGGTTATGGCTAGGGGTGTAGCTGGCGGTGCGACGCGCTGGCGGAGCCGGAAGGGAGACGGCACCTCAGCATCATTACTCTCCAGCCCCGTTTCTGCGCATTTTTGTTAGGAGAGAATGGGACACAAATGCAGCTGCGGATCCATTTACTCCCACATGGCATGGGTATCCCCGGAAGTGAATGTACATTTGAAAAGCCTTGTACCTGAGCTACATTGGTCATGGTTTATCATGAGCGATTCAGCCCGATTTCGCTGTGCAAACGTATACCTATCAAGCCTTGTCAGTAGTTATCATTATCAATAGCCATCAATGCTCTCCCCCCCACATAGCGACCTTGCCGGATCAATGTCGCCATTTTTACTGTGACGAGTGTTCCGCATTTGATGGCACTGTTCTCCTAACATTCTTTATCAGTTCTTATCAGCCGTTATCAGTTTATTCAGTATTGTAACTTCGAAAGCGGTGTTGCACTGTTGATGCGATGCGCACTGTAAATTTGGAGACGTCACTCTAATTGCTCCCTATCAAATCTTACCAATTGTAATCACGTGCTGTCGCCCACGAACCGTGTTCCCGTTCCAAGTTCTCTATCATGCCTCGGTACCAAGGCTCATTGTTACGGCGATGAGCGTTCTGACCTTCGCCACACAGATACGGACATACTTAACGGGTTGTATAAAATAGAGTGATTCAGACTTATGATTTGGAACCTCTAAAAAGCGTATTTTCTTGCTGAATTTCAATCAGCCATAGCATGCAAACTGGAAAGTAGCTGTTGTTGCAGGCGATGTTTCGTTATGGACTTTGGAGATGCTAACACCGACTTGACCATGTGTGACCTGATCAACCCACAGCCGAAGAGGACTCGGAAGCTGCTTTCGGTTGTAGCTGATTACACGAACTTCCATCGGGTAAGTTCTTGCAATATTGCTTCTGATTTGCTCAGTGGTCGAACAGGAGAGTTTTTACCTACTCAGTAGTCAGTAGTTTCAAGACTGGTGTCGACAGCGAGCATCGTTAAGGCAAACCCTTATTTCCCATATGGTCAGCTTTTATCGCTTGGATATTATGAGACAGGGAAAATCTACGCCCAGAAAAAGTGTAGAAGTACTCTCCCAATTAAGGGTACATGTTATTGCGTGGCATGGCCAGGAGCAAATTATCGTGGTGTTCGTCTAAATCTGATGTGAGGTTCGCAGTCTTAGAAAGAGGCAAATTGATGTAGGGGGAGCATAGTCTTGATCCTGAAGCAAACGCTAATTTTGGTAAACTTTTATCTTAACTAGTTATCAGATTATCACCGGTATTTCCTTATTTTTTTTCCAGTTCGATAGCTTCTTCAGTTTCCTCACCTTAGCGAGACCTGTGTGATTATGTATTCTGTACCAACTCGCATGGTTCCCGAACCGTTTTCAGGGTTTACCCACAAAAAAAAGAGATTGTGTTGGCTCAAACTGTCTCATCGTAGGATGTATTAGGCCATTCATCCGGGTGGTGTTCCTACGAATGCTCTCCCGTCCTTTTGGTGTTCTGCGTTTCTTGCCAGTGCTCACTATTTGCTGCCCCACTTTACAAAGTTTCAAGCAAAATTACAATGAAAAAGTTTGCGGGGAAAAAACTTATCCCAAACTTCCCAACCTTCGGGGGTAGTTCATACTACCCTCGATATGACCATTACATCCGCTTTGATGGATAATGTCTGAAATCCGCGCCACAGGCACTGGAGCGGTAGGGAGCCGTGACAATGGCGCCTTTGGCGCTAGCACCAGACGTTTTTGCGCCAAATCCAAGTGATGTTCGTGTTCTGAGAGTGAAACTGCCTTTTGAGTGAAAGGTAAACAGTCCCATCCATCAAAAAAGAAATGTTGTTGTTATCACGTTCCAGATGGGTTGCATTCCATGTCTTCTAATCTCAATTTCTTCAATTAGTCATTTTCCGAATGTCTTAGGTAGCATCGCAAGTGTTCGAGAAAACTAGCAGTGAATACGATCACGCCCGGAGAGAGATAGAAGAGGGTCTAGAACAAGTAGGTTGCACTCCAAACCGATAAACTCCTTTTTATTCTAAGACATCACTTGAATCCACTAAGCTATTTTAAGGTTCGTCTTGCGGAAGAGAGGAAAAATGCTCTACGAAGTGATCGAGACAGTCGAAAAAGAAAAGAAAATGGGGTGAGCTGCTTAAGATTTTTGCACTTTACACCCCATGTTATAATTAGCT